TATCAAAGCGGATTTTTTTACCAGGGTGAAATCGGACCCTTCCTCTCCGCCTTTACTTTTCCAGTAGTAAAAGCCCATCCGGTTCAGACATATCCCTCAGTAAAATAAAATTCAGTGATAACAATAAAGCTTTGGTCAGACGTCACAGGATATCTTTTTTTTTTACCAAAATCGTGTCCCCCCTATTCGTAGATGCTTCCCAGGATTCTTGATCCTTCGTGAGGTTACATCAAATGAGAAGATTAACTCTACGACAAGTTGGTAATCCTTATTTTCTATGTTGTCTCTGAGAATAAAGAAAGTCTTTCTACTAACGTTTGGAGGACTTAGGGGAGAAAAGCGAAGGAATAGTATAGGATCATATTATGGCTTGAACAAGGATGCGTTGCCATGAAGACCATGAATTAATAACGTCCTAATGAATCTTGTATGTCTCAAATTAAATTTTAGGTACGAACATAAAATATTCATCCCATTCGATATTTAATCAGACAATCAGACCATTTTCTTGTTGTACTAAAAATTTTTTTTTTTTTTTCATTTTCTAATCCTTGCACGATTCTATATCCCGAATCCATAAACCAAATGGCCATTGGCATAAATTTTAAAATACATACGATGATCCCTATAACCATAATCCTCCAGTGTAATCCTGGCAATACTTTCTCCTTAGTCGCAGCCAAGCTACAAGTACAAAAGTACAACAATGCACAAACGGCCAATACTATCTCTGGTGTATAATATGAATTTTTTGTAAGGATTTCTTATAGGATTTTTTGATCTGTCTCATTGAATTCAAAAATCCATTATTATTATACGCATTGCCAATATGCTAAAACTAAAAGCGGGATCCGTCTGGAAGTCATGAATTTTAATAATAATTCTGGCTGCGAAAGCTTCAAGTCTAATATTTTACGTGTAATACTTAAAAACGTTGGACCTGGTACAGCAAGTAGATACGGACTCTACAGCGTCAGACATTGTAGATCCGATGATTTTCAGGAAAATCTGATCCTAGTATCCCAGCAGGGTCTCGTTTTCTGCCAGGTTCAATACATCGATCACGTGCACGCCTAATAGCAGCACGTGTTGGTGATTACGCTCGAGGGACTGTGGCCAGATCGGGTCTAGGTAATTGCCCGAGCAGTGGTCCCACCCCCTCAGCAATCCCTCAAACCTCCAGCAACCCACCCAGGGTTGGTACAGCCCTGCTACCTATACGATTGATTGGTTAACATGCCTGGCTCACCTCCGGTCTGGCCTTGATTATCTATCTCTACTGGCTGTCTACAGCTTTGCCTATAACAGCTTATCAAGCTTTTGAATCGACGCTGTTGATAACGCAGAAAATAATTATTCCCTCTCAGCCATCCTTTAAATTTCAATTAAAAGCAATCGACGACGAGATATATGGAAATTGGAAATTCCATGGATCGAGCATTCTTGATACGCTTGATGTTGATATTAATGTTGAGAATTGCGGATATTTGAGTGAAAAGTGGATTTACAATTTTTATAATTTATTTCAAGTCTTACACTGTCATTTTGCCTGACACTTTTTTTATTTACTTTATGCTCGAATTTATATTTCAGACCTTTGTTCGGGGGTGGTTTCCTGGGGTTGTGGAACTAAAATTTTTTTCGGGTTCCAACTTTTTTTTTAATTATTTGACAGATTCCAGTTTTACAGGTACACTCACTACCCCTAATTCCTTCACGTCGAACGACTTTCCCAAACGCCTTATTGCCTTTTTTAATCGAGCCGACTTATTTCCCTTGGGAATCTCGGACTTTCTTCTCAGTTCGGTACGCACGTAACCACCAACCAAAAGTTCTGACATTCTCACGCGTGGCAGCTGCTTTTTTTATTTTTCATATTTACTCGAAAAACACCATCAACAATATATTACGAAAAGATTTCTCGACCTTTCCATAAAAACCGTCGTATTAAAGTTTAATGATATTTCGTAACAGTTTTTTCAGCCCAATCCAAATTTTGAAAATATCCCAATTGACAAAATCCCAACGAGCGACCCTCCAACCAGAAACTACCCCCTTTTTCTCCAACGTAACTTTGCCGACGATTCCTTCAAATTTCAAGAAAAGATTTCCCTCCCTCTCTCTCTTTCTTTACCCAGCACCACCGTTTCCACCCCATTTTTTTCTCTCCTCTCATTCACCCACGCTAACGCATCGAAGTGCGCGTGTCTATTAAAGCACAAGAGTGACATAATACTCGCCACTTAAAAAGGGTTGCCGTGTGACCAGACAGGCGAAGGGGTGTCTGGTGTCTCAAGAGCACCACTCTAACGTTGCATCATACAGATCCCTGAACATCCCTCGCGTGTTCACCCAAGACAAATGCACACCCTTATATAGGCGCATCTGCCTGTCTGACTATCTACCTACCTATCCACTAGCATACGTGCCTGCAAGTCTGGCCCTTATAGCACGTATCCTACTTACATCAACAGCGTGCACATATTTATACATAACATTTATATTTATACATATATTTATACATAAAAAAATTAATTATGAACCCATATAATTTACATACGGTCCATTGGGTCATAATTAACGGAAGTTACGAAAAGTCAAAAGCGCACCCTTATACCCACCCTTACTCGTCTAGCTATCATACCTATTTAGTATTGTACGTATTGAAAAGTCTGGCCGTATCTACTTGCATGGATAGCATATATCTATATATATCCGAATATATCTATAGATGGATCGTTAAATGTACTATGCTTAAATAACATTTTTAAAACGTCTAGACACGAAATTCCGTCGAGGCTGACATCTTTTATTTTTTATTTGCAAAAAAAGTGACTTTTTATTGCAGATTGCACGACACTGTTACAAAAATCTTTTTTTTAGTTGTTTGTAACTCCAGCTGATTAACTCCAGTTAATTTTATTTCTATACCACTTATTACTTTAAGGGGATACTCTTGGTTGGAATTGAAGTGTACAGGACTATTCAGTCTGAAAGCATCACCCGAAGTCAGCATGTTGAATTTTATTTCTTTGGTGTAACCAAATTGGTACGTTTTTATTGAATGACCCTGTATATAATACTTGCAGATATTTATATTATTACCTTGTGTTTAGTTAGACAGATATATCTACAAGTAAAATATATGTTAGAGGGCCATCTGTATATGAATTTCAATGCAGAAGAGTCCCCTCGATATCAAATTTGATTCTCGACTTCGCTATACTTCAATATTAGTAATTAACTACTTGTTCATTGCTTAGGCTACGTTCCGAAATTGACTGTCAATACTAAAAGTATTTTCATGTATCTATTTACCTGCATGCAATTGAGCGAAATGCAGCAGCAGCAATGAATTTTGAAATGCACCCTTAGGAATTAGTAATGGCGGCAAATACAAAATATCGAATACTTGTTCAATGGATAGTACATACGTGTACGGTGGTAAAAGGGGTGGTTAAAATAAAATTATTCCATGGCATAACCAGCAGAGCACCCTTATTATATGTACGTTTAAATTCGACTTTTTATTCCTTAAGGGTTGCTCTCCTAGGGCTCATTCAAAACCCTCGATTCGTTTGAAGCACCAGTTGGCAAATCGTTCGTGCGGTCGTTAACGTAGAAGCTTTCATTGGGAGTTTCTTAGTCGAGCGTCTTGTGCCCACGAGGGGAGCTGGGCAGGGGGTTGATTTTTCTTTATTCGCTGTACGTCATTTTAGGGGATGAAAAGAAGCAGCCAGGATTACCTATAGCCCGGTGGAAAAATACACAAAATTTTATATTCACGCGGGATACTCTTGTCGCCCTCCCGTCTTTCCACCCCTGAAAGACGCGAAATACAATTTCACACCACCCAATGGCGACCAGCCCTCCATCCCCTATCAAGCAAGAGGGATAAGGGAAAAAAAAGAAATAAAAAAAAATCGGAAAATAAGGTAAAGGTGAATCGGCTTGGTCGCGCTACCCCTCGCTCCTCAAGAAGGCAGAGGCCCAGCCACCTCTCCATTGCGATTGGGGTAGTTTTTCCCTCGCGCCCTCCCAAACTCACCCCTCACGGGATTTCACTGCGAATGCACTGACGCAACGCGTGAGGGTAGATTTACAAATATACGAGAGGCAAGGAACGCCGAGAATTTACAAAAAAATTTAAGCCTCTACGGCATCCATCAACCCCCGATGTGACAACCACCCCTCGCAGACTCACGCCAACCCCTGCGCGTTTATCAGACACATTATATAAATGCAACCCTTGAAATATATTCTTACGGCTCCGGGAAAGATATCCGAGAACTCGGGATGAAAATTCTTATATGGGTGTTCTTTCTTCGAATAAGGGTAGTTTACAAAAGATCACGTTAACCTTACTCGTCCTTTCGCACCTAATGAAAGGTGGCGACACAAAATTACGATATTGCAAAGCGAACCGAGTTACTCATCTTTCTTTCTAATCAACCTCGGACCATTTTTCTTCCCTTTTCTATTTCTTACCTGTTGAAAAAAAAAACCGCCATAAAAAATACTATCGACGTCATTTCTTATGCGGCATTCAAATGATCCTTGTATGCTGAGAGCACTACTGACAAAACATGTATATATATTTATACACCTATATACTATTTCCAGTTGCACCACACTCGACAACCCCTCTTTATTAAAAATGAAATATTCAGTGTTGTTACGGCGCAACCTGCCCGTTGCCGATGCTAATTTTTAATGCCACCATCTCGTACGTCTCCCTATAACGGGTTTAATTAGAGAACTTAGTTAAAAACGGCCATTATTATACACCCTGGTGAAGTAGTGCAATATGCTAAAAGTTGAGTATACTCAAGTGCATATAACTTGAGACATTAATCCGATACAGTGCCATTAAAACTTTATGCCTTTTGGTGGACGAGGTAATTTTTTTTTATTTAAGACAAAAAATTTGTTTTCCTATAATTTCACAAATTTTTTTAAAATCAAAATCCTATAGGAAATTTTTGTAAAATGCGTATGGCTTTTGTCTTTAAACAAATTCTATTCGTCGTATGTTCATGTGTGAACGTTGTCACTAGACATGTATCAATTACGTCACGGAATTTCATTACGTATTGACATTCCTTTCCAGCTGACACGTATTGACATAATCACGTTTCCTGTCAGTGGACAACGAGCATGACAGACTGCAGTGAACCGACTATCAGGTAAATTCAACGGTGGGATTGAATTCTCAACCGTCCTCTATTTTTTTTAAATGCCTAAATGCATTTTCTGCACAAAATGTACGTAGGGTTAAAACCCGTATGGGCTCGCGGTATCATTAAAAAATTCAATGGGATCAAAGGACCAGACACCTTTTGAGCCATACGGAGTTTAAATGGTACAGTGGAAAATTCATTATAGGACATAGGCTAAGTCGTCCCTATGCATTTATACGTGAAATTTAGCCCTGGGTATAGGGATAAAATAATTCTTCATTAAAAATCGTTTTCATTGGTTCAAATCAATTTATTGTTTTTTAATTCTTTGTATACTTTCTTTTAGTATAATTTAGGGGTGTTTTTCTTTTAGAAAATCCAATCTGGTCTTGACTCAAGATTGCGGAACGTGCACTGCTCGTATGGGATGTGATAATTATTTTGGAAAGATTGGGAATTTAATTAATAAGTGTAAAGACGTTTTTGTCCCTTTTAAGGGGTGTCAAGGTGTGCGAGAGCAAAGGAAAATTGGGAAGGATTGTTTAATCGGATCTGATGTACGTGAAGTTAGTGGAGCAAGAAAGGAAGGAATTCTTCGAACAGACAAATACAAATATGATAATGCAGAACATGGGCAATTTGAAAAAAGAGAAGAAAAACGGCAAAATCTTTTTTGCGATGATAAAGTTGATGGATTTAATGAAGATGATCGATCGATCAAAGGATTATTTAGAAATGTAACGTCTGAACAAGATATGAGTGACTCTACTAGAAGATGTGACTCTCGGGTGGCTGATAAAATTTTGAAAATTACTGAAAGCAAGAAAATTGGTAATTCAAAAACGGATATACATTGCGAAACGAGAATCCAAAGAGTTTGCAAGAGAATCAAGAGAACGGCATCCAAGAAAATAGGTTATTTTACAGTTAATAAATGTCTTGATAAGGAATCTGATAACGTGAATGACATCATTAGTAGTCACGGATCTATAGACTCAGACACTGGTACGACTAAACAATTTTTAAAAAATATTTTGGACTCTGCCTTTTTGGGAATTGAGAAAAGGTTGAAAATTCAAAGAGATGATTCTGAAACGTGTGTCAGTAACAAAAGTAGCAGATCGAGGAGTGGTTCTAGACATAGAATTAAGAATGTACATTCCAGGGAAAGCTTACATGGTTTTGGAAAAAAATCGCAAAATTGTGGAACCAATACATTGACCAATGATTTTTCGAATATTCAGGTGTGTCATAATGCTCATTGTCCACTGGCAAGGAGGTGGTAGAATTTTGAAATTTTTAAAAGGGATAAATAATCTTTTCAATCATTTTTGATAATCAACTATTTTGAATACTTGGTTTTTTTATTCTTTATAGTTACTACCGTAAAGGAATATTTGTTTAGTATCTTTGTAGTATCAGCTAATTAAAAATATTTTTATACCAACTCTGCTCAAATTTGTTGAATTTACCCCGGCAAATTTTAATGACGAATTGGACGAGTGTCCTCCTCTTATATCAGACGCAGAGTTAACTCCGATGAAGAATCGAGTTTAACTCTGTCATAACCTCCGTACACTAACCAGTGTCGGAGTAAAATTTTTGGAAAAATGGCAAAATAAAATTTTTATCATAAATTTATCAACCCTTAAAAAACCGTATTCGACGCAAACCGATGGAAAAAATCAGGATAAAATGTTGAACCAAATGGGAAGATGAGTAATTCCAAGAAGGATAATAAATCAAATCAAGCAAGAAATTTTCAAAAAAATTCAAGTAACGTGACAATTTTGGTTAAAAGATCCAGTAACGAAACCCTTGATAAACCATTGAAAAGTGAAAATTTAAATCGTGAATGTGGCACTGGCAAATTTATAACTGTGAATTATTCCAAAAAAACTTATGGACCTAAACTAGTTACGAGAAAAAGTGCAAAATTAAGGGAAGAAAAAAATCATTGTCAAATTCCTCCGAAAAATAAAAATTTCAACGCACTGAATGTGCTTGATATAAATTTTAAGAAAATTTATAAAAACTATGAAAAATCTTCACTCGCTCACAGGCCGAATGATGAAGTGACGCTGTTGAATTTTGGCACGTGCAAATTCGCCAATTCGATGCGAATGAACAAGCAGGAAGTATCAGTTTGTCATAGTGGTTTGGACGCCGACGTCGGTACGTCAACAATGGCGTCGCCAAACGACGAAAAGCTTTTACCGAGTCCAACAAACTCAAAATGTTTTGATAGTCCGAGCCATACTGGCAAAGAGGACAAAGAACGTGTTTCGATATACACCGGAAACAGAATGTCCGAACACGTTACTAAGCACCAAAAGAATCGCAAGACAATAGCCGCTACCATTGTAGGAAGTGACGTCATTCAGGATCGTGACCACGTCTGGACGCAGACGCAACAAGGGACGTCGTGTGACGTAACCGGAATCGGTGTGAGCACTGAGGATCGTGGATCAAATTTATCCAGCAAGACTTCAAAATTTGACAGTTCTCTTCGAAAAAGTAAAACTAAATGTAGAATTTTGAAAAAATGAAGGAAAGAATAATAAAAATGGAAAAAGGACAAAGAAAAATAGTCTCTATCATTTTATTTGGGATAATATCAAAGTATTGAATTTTTTTGATCAGACGAAAATGTTTTTTTCCAATAAATGATCAAACTTATTTTTGGCAATAATTATTATGATGTAATTAGACTTTTTTTATCTGTCAAACACATGTCAGATGACTATATATTATTTTTTTGTTTCTGCGTCATTTGTCGCGCAGAAGACATACGTATTTTGGCTTTATGACATTTTGGTTAAATTCGCATTTTGAAATTTGAACATAAATAAAATCATTCGGCTTAAGCAAAAATTATTGTCCAAAAGACTAGTCAAAATTTTAATTAATCGGAAGGTATCGTTGGATGATATAGAATGCTACCATCACATCCTAATTCGCCATACTCAAAAACTGTAAATGGAATCAGACCCGGAAAGTAAATATAAAAAATGTCATTTATCAAAATAATTTCATAAATTGTCAAAATTATTAAATCACAGTAAATATCGACAAGTCAACGAGCAAAAAACCCATATGAGAGCAATAGACGTCAAGTGAGAATCATCATTACAGATATCACATTTCTAAAGACTGAATGTCATTCGCTTTAATAATGAAAATTTGCAGAAACATTCATCAGGCTCATAAAATAAGTAGCGAATATCCAACTACAGAGACGTAAGTACTGTAACGTAATTCTGTAACTTGTGACCCGACACCGATAAGAAAACATACGAGAAAGCTATCTTCGAGAACCAACCTACGTTACCTTCGGCCGTCCACCCGTCGTTCGTGCATCCGCAAGCCAGGCGGCCGACAGCCAATTCTTTTTTCACCGGGAACTGACGAGCCGGTATAACCTGGGAGTTGGGGTGGAACAGGCCCAACTCCACCAAGAACGAGAACTCTGACGGAACCTATCAGACGAGGCGATAGCTTAACGGATCCTGTCGATTTTTGGGGACGCGTAAAATCGAGAAACGCAACTGGATACACGAACGGGAGCGGACGGTTACGGAAATGCACGGCAGCTCAGGCTGCTAGGTTTGAGCTAGAGAGGGTCGGAGTAAGAGTCCGGCAAATAGTGCGAGAGACAGAGAGCGACGAATCGAGAACGTATCAGAGCGAATCTTAATTATCTATCGAGATCCCTTCACCAATTAGTAAATTGGGAGACTCACCGGAGCTGGTGCAGCTAATCCGTGGAGGCCGAGAACTGCATCCTTAACTCGGGCAGGAGGTTCCTCTCCTGCCCTTAACCGTATCAAAACTACCTCCGCCCGCTCTACAGCCCTTTGCCCATCTCCAGCGGGGCGCCGGTATCTCACCCGGGCTTCTGCCGGTCCGCGGAGACGTCTCCGTCGGGTACTCTCCTCTGCCGGGCAACTCGGTACGTCGAGAACATCTCCCCACGGCAGATTCGAGCACCTCAACCTCAACTAAACAATAACGAAATCTTACGAGAGCCTTGGCATAACTATACGAATCAACCCGAGAGCGTAGTTTCTGAGCAGGGTGGCGACCCGAAGGGAACCAGAAATCGAGAACGTTATCTGTATCGGTAACCCGAGCCGCCTTGGGACCGTGATTCGAAAAATCACGTCACAGTACAAATCACATATAAAAGCCAAAAAAAAATTACAAAATATTTTTTAGAAATCCATACCATCACCATCACGATCATCACAGCCACCAACGTCATCAGCAATATCATCATCCAATGATAGGAGAACAACCAATAATCCGTTCAATAGGTAATACCATGAAATACTTTAAAATGCCAAAAAAATCAAAAACTGGATCATGAAAAAAAATTAATTTTGACAGATACAAACAAAATTCTTGTACAAACAACCCCTAATATCCGTACAACTTCAAAACCAAGACAGTGCACAAATTGCTGCGGAGGTCTGCCAGGATGTGGACCAGGATCAGGTCTGACAGTAACAAACTCTAGGCAATCTGTCCAAGGGCAATGCTGCTGTCAAAATAGTAAAATCAAAATTCATCATTATTCATATAGCAAGGATCATTAATCCATATATAAATTTCAGAAACAACCGTTCCACAAGTGTTCATTAAACATTCTGGAACCATGAACATCTCCCACGAAATTCCATTCTGTCCTGATGATAAGCGTCTTAGGGGTGGCGGAAGTACAAATAAATTTTCATACCCAAGGAACTTTTTACCTTCGTCCACCGGAAGTACCAATGAAGAGACAAGTTGGAATGAAGATTTTGAAAAAATTTTCAAAATTGATAACACCAATATACGTTCCCGCGGAGGATGTGGCGGATGCAATTTTCCGCAAAGCATTAAATCCTATTCCGCATACAATTCCGCTTCGCGTGATCAATGCCAATCATCACCATGGCCCTCGGCATTCAAATATCCAAGAAGACGTCCTTGTCCGCCATTACTACCGGTCTGTTTCACCCAACGTAAAACTTGCGCTCCTGAAAATTTTCAGGTGAGTACGAAAGCATGTTGTCCTTGCGGAGGATGCGGAGGAGCCGCGTGTAGCGATAATCCTGGAGGCGGACAAATCGATGGTGGATGTTGTGGCGGAGGCCACGTCAAACCACTTCCTTGCAAGTAAATGAGAGAACAATTTTTTATTGACCCATTTTCATACTTGGTAAATACGTATTAATACTTGCTAAGGTGCAAGTGTCAATCCTGTAAGGATTTTCATCCTTGTGGAGGATGCGGTGGACAATCGTGCGGGAAGATTTATAGCTGCGCAGGATCCAGTGGAGGCACCTGCTGCTTTCCAAGGAACTATAAAAGAAGATCCGGCCCGGAATGTTGCGGCGGAGGTAATTCCGGATGCGGTGGTTGTTGCTGAAAAATTGAAAAATACCTTAAGAAATATTAAAAAATGTATAAAAAACAAAAAGGTCTCATTGACATAATAAAGAATTAATTACATTTTTTTATGCTTTCAAATATCTTTTAAAATTTTTTATCAAGACAGTCTCCAGCAAAGTTAAGGGGGGCGGAAAATTGGGTGACGTCATAATTTATATTAAATTACAAAATATATTTGAATTATATTAAATAGACTAAATTTGAAACCTAAATAGATGCGACGAACCGGAAGTCTTTTTACACTGCCAAGATATTTTTATTAAAAATTGTTTTGTTTCTAAAATTTTATTTTTACAATTTTCTCAAACTTCCCACCTAAGTACTGCTCCTTTATTCATCCCCAAAGAAAAACTACCCTAGATACGTGTGTTGGTTTAATACGTTCCATTAGGGGTTTAGCAATTTTCGGTTTTTCTACATTCCAAAATGCAGGCAAAATGCGCTAGAAATATAATCTCTGATAGTTCCACCGTTAGTTGCTGGACCAGCAACAGCGCCAGCAGTAATGACGGCAGCAACGGGAAACTCGTTTAGCGTTACCTTAAGATGTCTACACATAAGTACACGGTCTGGCTAAGTGCACCGGTTGGTACCTACTACTTAGAGGAAAAGTTCTTGGTGCTTGAGAACTCGGTACAGCGTAAAGCCTTCAGTGGCGTTTTTGGGAGGGTGGTTTTTTGGGGTAGCGTGGGTCGGGTTTCAGGAGTAAAATAAAGTAATAAAGGCGGTAAAAGAGTTTCGTCTCTCGACCGAGCAAAAGGCCATGTCGAAATGGCAGCATCCGGGTTTGGGTTTTATTGCTGAACAAGTACCAAATGTGCTTTCCCCATTAGGATGGACCATCACCCTTGACGTTTTCATTTATTTTGTCTTTAAATCTTATTCCGTTATCAGCCAGATCTCCGTTATTTTTCAAATTCTCCCCTTTCTCATTTATCCGACGCAACTGCAGGTAAATCCAAGCTTTTTAAATTAATTTCGTAACTTTGATTTTCCTTTCCGCACCAAAAATCCCATTGAGAAATCCTTACTCGATATAACTTCCACGAAATGTCCGAAGGGGTATGTTTTCTCTCTCTTAGTCTCGGGCAAACTTCCAAAATTCTTCTCAAGGACGGAAGATACCGTTTAAGGGATGAAACTTCTGGAAGTGACTTTCTAAAACGTACGGCCACTAGTGACGTAGCCATATCCAACCATCTTGAGAATTTATAGTTTCCTGAAAAAAAAAAAGTAAGAAAAAAGTCGAAAATGGTATAAAAGTAAATGGTCCATTCTGGATGAATGCAGCATCCACTGAAGCTGCAGAGCCGACGATTATACCCACTTATCCCAGCGCTCGGACGCTCGTTGCATTATGCAATACCTTCCCTTGTCCTTTTTTCTCACCAAGATTTTCAGCATTAATCATCGTCCTATGAAAACGACCATAACGCAGCCCCTGATGCAGATGGTGGTGGATGATGTCCCCGACGCACGTGATTCAAGACGATGTGGTGGATGAATTTTCTAGCCTGGATTCCGCACAGCCCAGAACCAGGACCCACTTTCCTGCGGGATCATTTGCGAACCCTTCGCTGAAGGATGACGACGTGTGGCCCACGTTTCGGCATTAAGAACACACGTGACTCCATCGTCCTGCCGAGTCGTAATCCTGGCAACTTGAACTTTAATTAAAGCTGGATACTCGAACGTAGCGTGAAAATCTCCAGCGTCCTTGGCCATATACTATATACAGGGTTATTCAGTAGAACCGCACCACCTGAAGTTAGCGCGCCTATTTGAGTCCTATGCTAAAGCCATATTCAGGTGGTGCGTTTAGGCTGAATAACCTGGTATACACAATATATAATATGTGTATATATATATTTAACAAGTACTTCCCTCTATTGGTCCACTGATAAAATCAAGTTGATAGCGTATTTTTTATGAAAGTGACAAAAAGTTGCGATAAGAAAAAAAAAATCAAAGAATAAAAAAAATGCAATTAATTTTTTTTAGATTTAAGGTAAAGTGAATCTTATTGCAAATGAAAATATTTGAGATAAGATCTTATCGCCATAGAACTAGAGGCCATCAGGCTGTTAGGTGGAGGCGTCGTTTAATTATATTGCACAAAAGTCTCAGATTTAGTTTCATGAATTCAGAAAAGACCCAATCTCCCAGAACAATACCGATCCTTGGTAAATCCTGGAATCAACAGAAAACGTGCCGACAACTGATAAAGAACAAGGGGTGAACAAGCAACCCTTTTGTTCTCAAAACTGAACCCGGCGTCTCCTTACTAACAATAAGTTCCGGAAGACGAGGAGTGGGACGCCCGGCGTCTCGGGAACGCGTCCGACTCGGATGAGTTTTTATTTTCGAAAAATCAAAGTAACAAATCTGATGAATATTTAACGGAGGTTTTTCTTGTAGAAAGAAGAAAATCGAGGAAAGAGATGCTGGCTCATTATCATTCCGTAAGACGTGATGGACCTTGGGAAGGATGGAGTCGGTACCTGATAGTAGGTGAAGAGACGAAGGATAAGGAAGGGAGGTATCTTGAATAATTTAGCCTTTTTGAAAACCGCCACTAGCGACGGAGTTAGAATTCAATAAAGCGTGACGCAGGATAATTCGCATTTCGCATTCCGTTTGCGTACTGGCGGCTCTGCGAGGATTCGACGTTCCGACGTATTTCTAGATACGTCTGCACGATTGCATTGGTATGTCGACAATTATTTATGAAAACCAACCCTAAAAAGAAATACGGACAATATCATAAATAAGCTTCTATAAGGATGATCCCCCCAAAAAAACATGTGTAAAAAATTATGCCAAGCACAGGAGTTCTGTGAATTCTTCAAAGAAAAAGTATTGAAACATTATTTACTTGGCGGGTCCGTGTCAGGAATTCCAAAGTAGTTACTTTGAACGTACTATAGTAGTATTCTGAAACTATAAGTTTGTCATTAGACTTTTGTCGTGATTATTTTTTACGAGTTATTGCTAATATGCTCTATATAGAAAGTTGACGTTGGTTTTGAGTTTGAAGACTGGCATAATGAACGCAAATTCATATCAAGTAATGCACGGATCCGCCAAGTACCTGATAAGGAATTAGCTAAAGTTTGATTGATTATAAAATGACAATTAAATCGTATTTTAATACGAGAAGCCATAGTAATATAAAATAGTAGCAAAGACGTTATAGACGACCCATTTCACAAGATTATTTTCTACTTTCTTCATTTTCTTGCCAACTTCGAATCTCCTTTACTCTGTTATCTTCAACGTTTTCCTTCTTCCCGCTGATCATCCAACCCGCCATCAAAAGTCTAACTTTAAACACTTGCACTGCAACTGGAACTACAACTTTCACCTACATTCCACTCGTACAAAACATCAGAGTTTCCCAATTTTCCTCAAGGTATGTACTACACATTTTGAATTCATCGTTAAATAATTTTCGCTATTCTCATTGTCAGACTTTCAGTATCTGTAATTCTAGATGAGTTTTTGGTACAGTAAATTCGGCCCACCGACTGCTTAATTCAGATATGCAACAATATAACAGTCCACTATATTTGCGATACATCGATCCGGAAGGTCCGCACCATGTACGGTTGACCGTATTTGAGGTAAGACTTGATGAGTCTCTTGATACTGAAATATCAAAGTCAAAAAAATTTCTATATTTACTCATCGACCCACCATCCTCTTACCCCTTTAATATTTTGGTCATAAAATTTTTCAAAATTTTCATAATTATTTTTCACGACAATCGCACACCCGTGTCGTCAGGAATATTCATTCGAAATTTTGACAGGCGTCGGTCCCAACGTTCTTAAAAAAAATATATAACCCCTTTTGCCAGAAAGCTTTTTCCCGGTGCAATACAAAAATTACTATCCGCGTCCCGACGCCCAAGTGCATCCAATGCACCCATATCCTTCGACAACGCATACTAAAGGGAACTTTCGAGGGCTCGTAGAACGAATGAGAAATTTGCCGCTAAAAATTCACCCGGCCTCGGCGCGAGACGAGGCGACACTTATTACAGGGATTTAAACCACGTGTCTGGTGCGGATGCTGTTAATTCGGAGCGCCCTGGAGGGCTTAAGAGACGTGATGGGGTAGGAAAGGTTGAAGGGTAATAAGGGAGGGTTCATGGCTCATTGAAAAGGAATGAGGAAAGAGAGGTAAAAAATTTTGAAAAAAATAATACATTAAGTAGGGTGTAAGATTATGGTGCACGATTTTGAAAATCTGACGTGACAACCCCTGAATATTATTTGATTGTGCATCTATCAGGCATATTATTATTTTTTGGTTGAAATTTGAAAGAGAAAAAAAAATATTTAAGATATTTAAAAGACTGCACAAGCAGTTTTCAAATATATTATATTGCACCTTACGAGTGAAAAATTTTAATAGCGAATTCAAAAATTCTTTAAACACAGAATGCGTACTGAGGTCAATGGCCTGAAAGGGAAGACAAAATTTCACTCGTTTTCCATGAAAATCTCGTAATGAATTTTTCTAATCAAACTCAATTAAACGAAATACGGGTATGAAATGAAAATCGCTCTACTTTACCGACTGTAGCTACCAGTAGCTATGGCTACTGTTATATCTATATGAATACAGCCACGAACCATCCTTTCTCAGAACCAATTTCTATCGGAGCCCGACTTCCGGTTTTATTCTAGAAGGACGTGACGTAGTCGAGGACACCGGAGATTGCCGTACAAATGAATCTGAAGTATTGGCAACGAGAATTTCCTGACTGTCGTCCGTAATAATTCATAATGAGAATTTTCGTTGAACGAAATATCTAAAAATCGGTTAATTCCTCGAAGCGTTTCTACTATTACGAAAAATAGTCAGAGTCGCTATCTGTGACTGGACCAAATTCTTTAAAATCTTAATTTATATTATTATTTAGATATTTAAAAAATATATATTCGTCCCTCATGCACGTGTGCATAAAAAAATCTACACACTCTCCTATGTAAATTAAAGAATTTCACCTTTTCCTAACCTAACCTACTCAGATACCCTTGTACACTTTTCTTATATCCTTAATGTCGAGGTCGCTCCTCACGTGCCAATGAGAACTTCCGGAATGACGTAACGTCCAAATCGAAAAGGCGAATCGTAAATCGAGAGAAATTCAAAGAGAAATAACAAGACCCAGTTCGTAGATGCTCTCTTAACGTGGTACCAAGAAGAAGAGAGGCGAAACGTTAAACGCGAACGAAATAAATTGGCGCTCGCGTGTTTACACGTCGACAAAATTAAAATTCCTCAAGAGCAGGAAAGCAGCCGACAGTTTAGCCGCGGGAGCGCCGGCAACCTCGAAGGAGAGTTGTGTTTAATTAATGACCGGACTAATTAAAAGCCCTGAAGAAAAATATACAACGGCCAAAAACCTGGCCAACGGTGGCGCCACTTTCAAACACTTTTCTTCGATACTAATTCATAAAGGTTCCCATCACCTTCACCGCCTTCCGCCCCTCTTCCTTCTCTTTTAACTAATGACTTTTCAATCTTCAAAATGGCTCTCCACTTACTTTACTTATTTGCTATTAGTTTCCTTTGACGGTGACGTCATTCCTGTTAACAGTCATAAATTGTTATAAAAAATTTTTCATTTTCAAAATTCTATATATGCTTCATTTAATTAACGTGGATTGTAATTATTTTAAACAACCGCTTTTGGCTTTATCTCTGTATCGCAATGCTCTTATCATTTCCTGTGATTAATAAGTTTTCTTGGATCGCTATTGAACAATTTTTTGTTATCGTCAATTGGAAGCGTTTTGGTTAACATAAATTATAATATGTAAAATTATATTTGACTACTTACGTTACTTGGTTTATTAAACAACGGTTTTTAAAATTTTTTTTTCGTGTCCTTTTTTTGCCACTTTTTTGCTCGTAAAATTTTATCCTATAACCGCGGTATATTTATACACGTATAATCGTATATGACGTATAAGGGAAGTTCATGAAATTGTTCATTTCCGATGGCGATACGTATACAGCGATGCATTAAAATGTTGGATTACTCGAAATCGAAAAAAATAAAAATATCGTGTATCAAATTAAAAAAATAAAATTAATTAACTAAAAGAAAAACGTTAACCCCATTACTCAAATTACCAAATAGATCCGCAGTACCCACAGCTTTTCAGGTACAAAAACAAAAAGTTCATAAGAATTTTTCATCGAGTCAGCGACCCGAAAAAAAAAGCTCAAAACCACATATGAAACGAAGACCTTTAATCTGCGAGTTGAATATCTTCTTTGCATTCATGGCAGGGAGCGCGTTATATTCATATATGTATAATAGTAGTACCATATATGCCCGTGCATAATTATACTGGAGTGGCGCCACTGTTTTACTGCTACCTACAGCTCGCAAGGTAATAATTAAAACTGCCTTTCCATAAGAGTAAAATATTTTTTTTGGATTTGTAAACCAACCCCCGGCCATCCCTCGTAGCTAACCCCTCCGCCAATTCACTCTCTCATTATCTGTTCTTCTCCCTCTAGCCGCTGGCAAACATGCCCACGGTATATACGTATAAATTACATGGAGGTAAAATCCATCTGCTTTTATCATATGTGTATATACGTATATACATAATCATATGGATCCTATTTGTACATTACGTCGACACGGCAGTCAGTTTTAGCTACTGGAAATGTGCTGTAATAATGTATTATCCTGATTTATAGGGATACCGATCAGGATCCTTAGTTAATTAGATTAACTGATTGGTACGACGATAAAATTTATTTTGATTATACAAAATTTCGAGATTAACTTCTGTTGGATGATAAAGGCGGAATTTTGTGTCCGCTTTGGATTTTCGTGATGCACTGTGAGAAATTTATTAAATGACATGGCGATGAGAATAATGATAATTTTTCGATATAAATATTTGTAATTTGTACATTTTGATAATATGATTATGATTATTTTGTACGATTCTCGTAGTATATAAAAGTGTATATGCTTGTCGGCAACTTCAATTCTTTATTGGATATAATCATTCTCAATGCGAGGACACGTATTATCGGTACTTTTTGGAATATCTTGATAATGTTTTTGACATTGGTTAAACGCAATCAGACGATACGTATGAAAAATGTATGTAGGTCAGCGAATTGTACGAATAAGGTCAAAGGGCATCGAGACAATTTTTGAAGAAAAAGAATTGAAATATTTTTTTTTGAGATATCAATATCTTAAGGCAACGCCGTAGAGTTCTGCGAGAAATTCGCGAAGCTTGATTAATCTTTGGCTATCGTATTTTTGTAAAATCTCTTGCTCGCGATTCAGTCGTCTTTGGCGGACTTCCGGTGTCCAAATGCGCGGCCATCTTGTTTCTATTTGTCTTGGACTGCCCAGCCATAATTTGTCGACTAATTGCAAACAGCGTGGTAATTCTATTTCTAAAGAATCTTCAGCCATGATCGGTACCACCTTGTCGATTAAATCGGCACGGTTGTACAAGTAGACTAGCGACACCAAGCGGGAACAAAATTCATCTCGCACAAAATCGTCGGTAAGGTAGAAAATTAACTTAGTGGTGCGACTTGCGAAATTTTCGAAACTTTCAAAAAAATCGGCACCGATCGATACACTGTCGTTATAAAGAATACCGATGAGATTTGCATTTTTATAAAGTCTCTGTAAAGTTTGACGAGCAGCCTCCTTATCGTTTTCCGTCGAAATTATCAAAAAATCGGAATTTTCATTTCCAACTACAAGCGGTAATTCTTTATCCAAACGCTTGACAATGCTGGTTAATGATAATTCTAATTTATTTTCAGACACGTTGATTCCCATAGTTTTTAGGATCGTTATCGACGTTTCCAAAATGTTATCACTATCTGTAGATAACGATACAATTTCACTTAACGATTCTCCATTATGCACAGTCAATGTCTCTGGATTTGTATTTTCAAAAATTGGTTCAACGTTGTAGGATCCTTTCTCTTTAAAAAAACAATTACAAAATCCTCTCTTAACTTGAAAAATCCAACCATAAAAAAAACCGCAATTCATATTAACAATGTTAATAAAAAGTCCATTTAGCTGATAACACAAGACAAGATCAACAATTGATCTAAAAGAATCTACTCAGAATCGGTCACAACATTAGTAACAGGTCCGTTATGAACATTAACAATTAAATTAATTTGTGGTCCAACATGAACATCCGAAGATCCCTCAACGTTCACATACTGCTGCGTCTGTTCTTCACTCAGTGTCCATTCCCGTCTCGAATCTTCATCAGCACTGATACCCAAGCCACTAATCAAAGATTCCACACCAGACACAATACCCTTAACCGGTGTAACCGGTTCCGAACAGTTTGGTAGTACCCCTCTAGCAGTGGCGCCACCAATAAACAGTTCATCCTTATCCCCAGAACCGCGACCAGAGATCATGGACGCGACGCTATCATTAAAGTTCAAAGAGGTCAACCTGTCATTCTCAAATAACAAATCAAAAGATTCATCGCTCAAAAGACGTTTAGAAAAATTTTCACGTTCCTCAAGATAATTCAGAGCTCGCAAAATTTTAGTGCCCTTCACTTCCGCCGTATACGTATTTCTTATTCTTCGAACGACAGCACGTGGCTCTGACAAATTCAATCCAGCCACCCCGATCAGCGGCAGAGGTATCCTAGGCGGAAGGCGTCCCGACGCTTCAACAAAGACGGGCACACACCTATCACGCTCCTGTGAAATTCGCGTGAGCAAACTTTGAAAAACTGCGGCGCTCTGTAATCTACGACAGAATCTATCGGCCGTGAAGTCTTCAGTGATAAGGAACATAATCTTGGTACTGGAACTAATGAGGACGTCGTATTCTTGAAATATGTCACCGCCTAAGTCACTTCCGGCCACGCGACCACATAAACCTTGATCACGTAGGACTTGGACGAGTCTCTGAGCGAGATCGAAATCGTTATCGCTGGCGATAACGCAAAAGTCAAAAAATTCTATTGGGGGATAATGACTGTTCAATATACCGATGACACGTTCCCTTTTTAGGTTAGGTAAACGATCCACTTCGTTAAGCGCCGAACAATGCTCTCTGTGATACAATTGTAATTCTTGTTGAAGTTTGTTCACTTTTTTGTTCTCGTACAGCTCCACTTCGTTACAGAACACAAAGGTACTTTGCTCCGCTTCGTTTTCACTGTCGTTTCCATCGCACCGTTTCACTCTTGGTTCCCTAGTGAAATTTTTCTCCTTTTTCGTACAACATTTTTTTTCCTCTTCGACTTCTGTCTGATCCGCCACCAATTCATTCACTGATGAGATGAACTCCGGAACTTTAGGTCTGATCCATCTTTTCTTCAGTCTGCACGGCTTCCACAGCTTCTTCAGGCGCTCGAACATTGCTTGACTAATTATGTTCTCAGTCTGTGTGGCACGAGAGACGCATCGCGAGCGTCATGAGCGACTGAAGAAGATAAGCATATTTCCCACTTTCTTGGGAATCCCCGTTTCACATATAAAACGTTACGTCACTTCGATTAGTCAATGTACATATATATATATATATATTCACTCTCAGACATACGTGTATCAGACAGCTGTAGCCTCAACAGAAATCATAATAAAAAAAGTAAACATAACCGCTTCTTATTATCTGAATAAAAATACATCCGTGACTTGGGCTATCTTATCTTTTAAATATGCTATAGTGAAGTGAAAAAAAATGCCTGGATGATTTAATTCAAATAATTATGGTTCTCGTTGAACGCCATCATAAATTTGGCAAAGGTCAAAGTTCATTGACTCCAAGTTTCGATGCCTCTTGGAAACATCATTTTTTGTTTATCAATTTTTCAAATATTTTTATACAATTTTAATAATTACACCTGGTCCTTGCTGTGTTGAATTTTATTCTGACTAAACGTTTCACTGTATGCGTCGTATAGAGCAAAATTTTCTGTATACTAGGTTAAATAGTTAACACGTATGATTATTATCAAGAAAAAATTCTAATATCGAAGTAAATACAATCTTACCATAAAAATGCCTTTTTTTGTATTTCTTCATTTTTCTCAAGAAGTCACGTAAGCGGAACGGATCCAATCCCTGAAGTGACTAATGTAAGTGAAGCCTGTGTAGGAATTATAATCACAGCTGTTATCCTTGACTGGACTAACACTGACTATACCACGTAGATACCATATTCCTTGCATCTCAAAACATAGTCCTCCCCCACTGTCGCCCTCGCAGAGACTGGAACCTATGGGGAAAAAAAATAAAATAAAATTCAAAAATTTATCTGACATCATTCTCACTTCTTATATACGTACCATTCAAATATCCCGCGCAAAATTTGTCGGAGGTTATGAAAGGACGAAAATCATTTGGCACCGTCGACAGACACTCGTGAAACGGTATAAATGGTAAATTAATTTCCTGCAAATCCTCGCTGGGTAAACCACTTCCCGTTTTACCCCAACCAACAGCCTATTTGGTATATTGGAAGAATTGATAAGATAGCGTAATTAGATAAATAATCAAAAAATTTTTTCTTCAATGACCTATTCAGTTACGCACTTTGCCACTTTGCCCAACTTGCAATTGTTCTCGCTCGTATTTATTGTCCCAGTCTAAACAAATCGGTCTGACCAACGCTGTTAATACAAAGGGTGTCGATAATTTAAGTATAGAAATGTCCAAGGCAAAATTTCCACGTGCTCCCATGTATCGACTGGGTAACTCGATTTTTTCGATATTCGATTTTTGCACGTAATTCTCAACAGCTGCCCAGCTGCGATTTTGTTTACCAGCTGCAACTGCATAATTCGATGCGTCCTTAGCCACGCCGTTACCTTCGTCGTAGAAGCAATGAGCGGCTAAAATGAGAAATTTTTGTAAGTAAAAAAAAAATTGATTTGCCGTCAACTCACCGGAAAGAACAAGATTGTTGCTAATTAGCGTCCCGGCGCAAATTTGTTCGTAATTGCCGTTGTGTGCTTTTTCATAGATACCAACGTGCCAAGGGAAGACGCCAACTTTGGCAGTGAATCCATTTACTATCAAGGTGTTACCATGCGCTACAGCAGTTCCGCATTCTGTATGAGAATCAAAAAGTTTTTCATATTTTTTGGAATTTCATATTTTTTTTTAATCATCTCATTTTTTTTAATTATCTCTACGTCTCTTACCTGGAAGACAACGGAATAACGGACGATCCCAAATGCCGTCTTTTAAACACGTCAATTCTCTGTACCCAGGATCCTCGTACAAAGAAATTTTGTATGAACTCCTACAAGCCAGTGTTGCTTTTGTATCTGGTACAAGTGTACCTTCGCAAGGTACAATGCTGCCTTGATATGTACAGGTTATGTCAACACTAGTACTTTTGAGTGGGGGACAAGTTTCTAGATAGAAAGAAAGTAAGTGAAATTGTTTAAAAAATCAGGAAACAAGAATAAACAATGTTCCTGAGGTTGTTGAGTTGTTTAGAACAATGTTTTTGGATGATCAGGTATATATACAAAAATACTTACTCAAACATACCGGTGGCTTGTACCATTCTTGGTTGAGACAAAAGGATATGGTATTGCCTTGTAACGTGTAGCCACTGTCACAGGTGAATGTAAGGATACTATTCTTGGGTACTTTGTCACCTGGTACTTTGCTACAAGGATTTGTACAACCACCAAGCTCATAGCTTCCGCCTTCCGGCACTTCCGGAAGTGTGCAACCCGTTACGGCTGCTGACGCTTCGGCAGGAGCGCTAGTGGGGATAGATAGAGGATAGAGGATAGATAGATAGATAGATAGGATAGATAGATATAGGTATGGATGGTACAGCAATTTTTTGCTATTGTTGTAATTTAGGAAAAAATTGAAAACTCACGTGGAAGTTCCTACTTCTTTACAATTAAATTCGTCGCTACCGTCTTGGCAGTTTCGCACGTTGTCGCATCTGACGAGGCTTGGGAAGCATTCACCACTTCCGCAAGTGAAGTCGCTTTCTCTGGTGTTTGTGATAGAATATTGGGTTAGCGTGATTTTTAGGTGGTTTTATTCAGAGAACTTACTTGCATCTGTTCCGATTGGTAACAATTGGAGATGATCCAGGAGTGTTGGTAAGTTGTTCGTTGTTTTGTCCAGATGAAACTTCATGACCAGGTGGTTTAGGTGGATCCTGATCTGGTTGAAATTGACCTGGGACTCTGCCATGACTAGGAGGACCTGGAGGATCACCGTGAGCTCCAAAGCCTGGTCTTCCTGGACCTGGACCTGGTGGATCGTTATGATTTGGTGGTTCATTTGGATGGCCTTGATGTCCTCTTTCTCCCGGTGGGCCTCTACCACCCGGAGGTCCACCGCCCGGAGGTCCACCGCCCGGAGGTCCACCACCTGAATGACCACCACCTGGATGACCACCACCAAAGTTACCATCTGGAGAACCAAATTCAGATCCGACAAATCCTCCTTTCTCGGGTCCTCCAGGTCTTCCGAAACCACCTCCTGGTGGTCCACGTCCAGGACCACCAGGTCCTCCGAAACCACCTCCAGGAGGTCCTCTTCCATGACCACCAGGTGGTCCCATACGTTTCCCACGCACATACGGGTCATCTGTTGCTAAATTTCCACCTAGAAATTTTTTTAAAAATTTAGTATAAAATTTACACTGTTTCTAAACTCTTTCCAACAATCTAATTCCAACTACACTCTCCGTTGCTTCTCGACCTATTAAACTCTCCATTAAAATTTTTTTCAATGCGCAGAAATATTTTAACACGTGGAATTTTTATTGGACTGACTGAGTCCTTGAACATTGTAAATAGCGTCAAATCTATGATTTCCACAAAGTTCACGGACCACTCAGTTTACGCAATACATACCATCTTCATCGGTACAGTCTGATTCCAAAACAAGTACATTAAAACAAAAAACCGTTACGTCCCCACTCTGGTCCACAGATCTCTAACGATCAAAGTCCAAAAAATATTAACCAAATAAAATCTTCAACGATACATAAATTTTTCAAAAATCCAAACCCACGTTATCATCCATTATTACCCATACAAGTCATTACCAAAAAATGTATTAACCAAATCAAATCTTCAACGATACATAAATTTTTCAAAAATCCAAACCAACCTTATCACCCATTATTACCCATACAAATCACTACCAAAAAATGAAAATTTCCAAAATCCTAATTACCCATTTTGAATCACAAATTCCAATTAAACGAATTTAATTTACCCGTAAAATAAAAAGCACCCTGTGTCATTCAAACAGCAAAAAAATCACCAATAAATCATAATTAAAATGTCAAAAAACCTATTTCCACCTCCAAAATTTCTCTGACCCAAAATTCTTATCCGTAACCACAATTAATATAATATATTTATCTGCGTTACTCACATGGTAGCCACAAAGTCAAAATTAATACACTTAAATACACTATAACATCTCTCATGGTTCTCCGACTAAGAATCTCTGCTCATCACGGGTCACTCACGATTCCACAATCTACACTAACGACTATCCAGCATCAAGTACGTAGCAGCTTCGCAATCAAACCGTCCAGCAGTTCCTTTGGATGCCCCACGCAGGTATCACTGATTGTGCCATTGGTAATCATTGACATCGTCACCTGGTCTACAGTTCCGAAATATAGTAAATTGCATAACGTCCTATTTTATAAAAAATATATACAGTATTGTCAATGGAATTCAACACACTAAATAGATAAAAAAATAACGAGTTAACCAACTCATATCCGCGAATCATGATATTCAATAGTTCGAAAATTTCTTCAAATAATTAAGATACATTACAAATGATTGTTTAAATGGAATTTTTAAAGATACGTCAATCTTGATATTTCACGTGTACAACAGAAAACCAAAACAATTTTATTATAGTACTGAGCCTATTATCGGTGATTGTTGCTTTGCTGCGTAACTGTTCTTAGCTCTGCGTATAATTTTTTTTAATGATGACGTAACTGATTCGGTATTCAGTTTGTTTTCAATGATTATGCATGTGCTTGTTATTGCTGTTGGACATTTTTTAGTCTCTTTTGAAGTAGTGATACTGTATTTTGTATTTTGTTTTCATTTATTTGACAGTTGATCGATGACAGTACCACGTGGTAATTTTGAGTAGGTTCTTCGTATGTATTTTTATTTGTGTACTAAACGACGGTTAAAGGCATTCTACTAACGTTATTCATAAATTTGTGCAAGAAGATGGACGTTACGCTTCAGAAACATAGTTGTAAACATATATATAGAGTACCAGATGGTTTGCAAGAATTGTGTAGTGACATCGTGCGCGAGGTTATGGAGAGAGGAAAAAAATTGGAAATTTTGAACGAAAAATTATTTTGAAATAAATTTCGTTCATTTTTTTTTAGGTACTTCGCACACAACCAGAGGATATATATTGTTTCGTGGCAGATTACGTGGACGCACTTTTAATCACGAGAGAGAATGCCAAAGGTGAAATAATATTTTTTTAGAATATTAAAAAAATATTGTATCTCTTAAGCAATTCATTTTTATTCCCAATAATCGCCCAGTCGCTGTAAAGGTAGTAAACAACGTTGTATTAGGAAGCGAATCGATCGTCGCCATTTTACAAAGTACAGGCTTGAAATTAGATGGGATCGCCTTGGCTTCCAAAAGAATTCAGGTTAGACGCGAAAGAAGGAGGGAAAAAGGAAAACAGCGATAATTAAAAATTGATTGATTTTCATAATGAATATAAAAAATGTTATTCCCAGAAAGCTTTTCAAGTCTACTTGGAATTAATGGAGACCCCTAACGAACAGACACGTAAAGGTATTTATGATTAAAAAAAAAAAGTAGCAGACAATATTTTCAAATCCAAATTTTTTTCACAGAAACAATTTTCGAGGAACAAAGTCGGCTATCAATTAGCAATATTTTGGAATCTACTGGGACGTCTCGAGATCAGGCAATCGAAGCAGCCACAAGGATACAGGTCGAAATTTTTTGTAAATAATTTTGGTAATATTATAATTTAATAAAATGACGTCACGACAGGCAGCTTTTCGCGGCCATTACGAAAGACTTCGTATGGGTGAATTACGTGGGGAAATTCAATGGCAACGTGCTGCCAGTAATACTTTGGAAATTTTGAGAAAGGCTGGGGTCTCCAAAGAAGAAGCTACCAACGCAGCCATTTTGATTCAGTCAACCTATCGCGGTTATTATACCAGGCGAAATATGAAAATGAAATTGGGTAAGTGATTTTGAGTAAATAAAAATTGATTATTATTTTGATCCTATTTTTTTATAACGCCTGTAGATGGGCGGTACGAGGAAAATCGTAAAAATAAAAAAAATAAAACTTCCGAAGAATTCGGGGAAACTATTCAAACTGTTACTTGGATCAATATGATGCATGAAAATTCAGGTGTCACCGTGGATAAAGCCAATCAGGCTGCTACTGTTATTCAGGTATGATATAATTTTAATTTTTGAATAAATGTATTTAATTATTTTTATTCTTTTTAGGCTTTTTTTAGAGGATATCGCGTTAGGCGGGATAGTAAGAATATCAAAAATTCGGTGACGTCAGACTCAAACATGGTTAATGACATTTTGGATAACATACGTCAAAGGGTATTCGACAGTGTCATGTCACGTGGCAATATACCCAAAAAATTTGGGAGTCACGAAGAAGTCAAAGACATCGCCGACAAGATTCAAAATGACATTAAGGAACGATTCAGGTAGCTGATAAAAATGATTAAACAATTTTAATTCCAAAAAGAAAACATTACAAATAAATCATATCTCTTTACAGCAAAGAATCAATAAGTAAAGCTCAAAATAAAAAAAAATCAATAATGATCGTGGAAGATTAAAAAATATTGATCTCAAAAAAAAAGGAAAAATTCAAACTCTACCATACTGTTCTCAAAATAAATATGCACCGCGTTGCGATAAGCCTTGTAAAGAGAATTTGGTTAAAAAAAAAATTGTAAAATCAAAATAGAAATTATCAAAACGTATGCCTCCACATTCCATTCGCTCTGGAACGAGGATTTCTCGAAATCATCTTTCGAAAATCGTTTGGAATATTTTGAAAATTTTTTCTACAGCCACCTGACTTTTTATTTCCATAACAAGTCATCTTGTTATTATCTCGTAATGATCTCATCCTGCCCTCGTTCATCTCCCCGCAATTCCTTCTATCCTGATCTTTGATTTTCGCACAGTCACGAAATTTTTCCACGAGTATCGTTACGGAATCCTTATGGTCGATGGGTACCACTTCATCCTCCTGGACCGGAAGTGTCGTCGATATCAAAGGCGAATCCCGGGGATACTTTTTAGCGCGTTGCACATATCGGGAACATCCTTTGGAAAAATTCTTTCCGTAGACCCTCCCGAGCTGCTGAGCTTTCACGAAGGAGGGTCTAAGGCAACTCTCTTGTCTGGATGTAATTTCCGAAGATTGCTCGAAGCAACTGCAGCCACCTGACACGACGCCATTTCGTGAAATTGTCTTTATGGATAATCCAGGATGATTTCGATTTTCCCAATCGTAAAATCCACCTGGAAAGTCATCCTGATCCTGTCGCAGCGTCTCGTACGAGGTCAGAAGATCATATTGAGTTTCTGGATCATTTTTCAAGGTTCTAGTTCGATCCGAATGAATGGACAGTGCTGCCATCTCGCGGCCGCAGGATCTTTTATCGTAACACTTTGTCCCGACTGGTGACTTTGATCTACGAAATCAATGGTACAATTTTTAGCTTGTTTTCTTTGTATTTTCAAAATTGACTTTTACTTGTAAATCCATGACGGTTTTTTGTCACTGTGCATTTTTCCAAAATATTTTCTTCTATCGGTATCGAAATTCAGTTTCACGTAATCTGGGTAACTATTATTTTTCATTTCTATACCGTTCCTCACGTCGCCGCCACTTTTTTCGTTTTTCAATTTTTCTACGTCGATTTCCTTAGCATCGTCTTTGCGGGGTTTACAGTGACATTGGCAGCAGCTACAGGACGATTCGGGTCTTCTCTTAATATCCTTTTTTAGGAACCTGTCAGGTGTCTTAGGATGATCGTTTATCCATGTATTAGGCAAATACAAATTATTCGATTTAACATTTCGAATTTGTTTATTCGATGAAAATCCTGATTTGACGTTTCCTGGACTTGTCACCTGCAAGAAAATTTTATTATTTCGATATTCTCTAGCTTGTGCGGTTAACTAAAGCATACCTTTGGCTCCTTATGATAATATCTTGAACGTGACCGAAATTCAAGATTTTTTGGAAATTTACGACGAGCACGTCGAAAGGCTATGGATGCTGCGACCAGTTGATGAGATGAACTGGGACACGTATTTGACATTTTTGATTAAGCGAATCCGATAAATCACTGGTATATATATTTAAAAGAAATAAAATTCACAAAATTCTTTATCCAAACATAATATTTTGGTTAACTCTATTACGTATGACGTTTTATTAAATTATGAGAAATTATGTGCGAAACTTTCCTTTGTTTCTTATTTTCAAATTTATACAATCTTATGACTATTGTATGAGTTTCAGGCATTTCAGGTCGTAATATATATGGATACTGGATATTGCGAAGTACTGTTGACGCTTGTTGTTCTCAAGTTTTAATAGACGAGACGAAAGTCTAGACGGTCGGAATTGCAAAGGAACGTTGGAACGGATTTTACATTGTTTAAAAAGTGACTTAATGTAATTTTCAAAGTGTATAAATATTTGGAAAATTTGTCAAAAATATTTTTCCTCGCGTATATTACGACTGCCTCGACAATCGTTCAGCAATGAAAATTTGATACAAAATTTACAAAAATTTTATACTCGTTCCACGAGCTTTTAAAAATCCATTAACCGTTAACGGCTTTAGACAAAAATCGAAATAATGAAACGCTCGTAAATTCCAGAAAAAATAATAAACTCTCTTAGGTCAAGTTAGGCTAGTAGAAAAAACCATGCAATACAAACGAGTATTCGACTATCGTTAACGCCTATGCAAATGGTACTAATTAGCAGCCGATGTAATTGGAATGAAATTAGCGAGAGATTTAATGATGTTTCGCCAATGAAATTCTTACCCGTTGAAAATGAACTTAGTCTCAGGGATTAAGGTTGAAGATCAACTTGTATTTGAAAAATGCAGTGGTACCGTTCAATTTTGTCAATTATCGTTATACTAATTTTCCAAAATTTTGTCAATTCCGAGGAGTGCCAATACGCGGAATGTATAGCGGAAGGTAAATTTGAGTATTTTTAGTTTATAAAAAAAAAAAAAAATATTTTTAATTACAAAACAAGAATCTATCTAAAAGTTTTTATATTTTAACAGCAAATCGTATAAAAAGTATCATAGACGAAAGTCTCAATCCCTGTGAAGATTTTATGGAATTTTCATGCGGACGATTGAACAGTTATTATTCGCAAAATTCTTATAAATATCCGCGAGCCAGAAGCAGTGTTCTTATTCAACATTATGAAACGCTTGAAAGCAAAATAATAGAGGAATTAGATGAGCCAGTGCGTCCTGATGAGCATCGAGGTATTAGTCTGGCAAAATTATATTGGCAAAGTTGTAAAATCAGTAAGTATCTTTTCGTAGCTTAATTATTTTTTCACTATTTAACAATGACATCCCAATGTAATTTTTATAAAACAGCAAAACCCGCGGAAGCAGCTTACGGATTGGAATTGGTCTTCAATCGATTAGGCAAATGGCCAATGGCGACTCCCGATTGGGACATGGATTTTTCTTGGATTAATTTTTCGATAAGTGCCAGAAAATTGGGATTTATGCCAAAAATGTTTATAGACGTTGGTTTAAATTTGGATGACGTTGACAAAGCGTGGAGCATCAATGACACGCTTACGTTTAGGGTATTTTGAATTGGACGTCAAAATTCGTGAAATCCCAAAAACCGGTGTCCTCTTCGTTAAATATTTCTTTAATTCCAATTTCATTTCTACGTCAGGTGGAACGTGCGAAGTTTCATCCACTCGTAGGACCTAAAACTCCAACTGGTATGAGATCTGACGATTTTTATTCGACAATTGTGAAACGTATGTTGGGAAATCGTTCAAACATTTTCAATATGGATGATATGGTAAAAGACTTGGCGGGAGTTCATGACTTTCGTATGGACATTTTTGATGTAATTATTTTTTTTTAATAATTAACATTTAATATAAACCAATTGTCTTACATTATCTACTATAACTCACTTGACAATTGCGCAGATGAATCATGGGCAAAAAACACCAATTCTTGAGATGAAACAAGTATCAATTGCTGAATTACAAAAGACTTATCCTTACGTCAACTGGATGGAGTATTTGAGAGCCATGCTACCACGTAAACAAGCCAATTATTTGTCTGACAGAAATTGCGTGTTAATCGAACCGTGCTTCTTGTCGAACATCGATGAGCTATTGAAAAAAACCGATAAAAGGTTAAATATTTTCGAAATTAGATACTTAGACGGTGGATTAAAATTGTAACATTTTTTTAAACAGAATATTAGCAAATCATGGCTTTCTGGTTCTTATTGACGAAATGACCCTGTATAACAGGCCACTCGTTAACTTGATATTGGCCAAAGATACCGAAGAGGTTGAAGACATCTGTTACAAATCGACTAAACTCACGTAAGAATTTTCAGATTAATTGGTAGATTAAAACGACAACAAAAATGGTGGAAAACTTGTTAAAAAAAGATATATTATTTTTTTTCATAGTTTTTCACGAGCTCTCGATATGATTGTAGCCAAATTTGCTGGGCCAATTACCAAAGCAAAAGTCACGGAATTACAAACTCGTATTGCGCACGAGGCGCATCAAATATTCCATAGAATACCATGGATGGATCATTTGACACAGTAAGTATTGTTGAACAAGAACAAGAACAAAACAAATATGTATATCCAATGACTTGCACAAGATCCCATATACAATACAATAGTAAAAACTATAACAGTACTACAATTCAAAATAATTGTTTGCATGACTCAATTTTCTTTTTTTTTTTTTATTCACAGACTGCACGCAGCCAAAAAATCCGAGAGGACCACTTTCGTCAACGTCTATTCGGATGATATTTTTGATACTAATTATTTTGATCGTGTTAGTGCCATTTTTGTACTACAATAATTGTACGGTGTATCCATTGCACTGTTTGACATTCCAACCAAAATTTACCATTGCTTTTTTCCTCTTAGCTCGACTTTACCAAACCCAACGCCATATTGGTACTTTTCCGTGAACTTAATATTTTCCTGAGAGATCAGTATTTTCTACAAATCGGACGACCACGGGCCATGTATGCTTTGCGACGCATCGACAATCAGACAATGCAGGCGATGGTGAGGACGCCATTTGCTGCAAGTGACGTCGTCGTGAAACCAGAACGTATCACGAATGAAGTTTGTGAGTATAAATCAAAGTAAAAGTTGACGCTGACAATTAATTATTATTGATGATAATGTTTCTTGATTCTTATCAGACATACCAGCTGGAGCTTTGGGACCAGGACGCTTCAGTACATTGCCTGAACTTGATTTTATGAATTATGCTGTCATCGGTTTGCAAATTGCACTCTCAATGGGACTTCAGATTTACGAGAAGGGATCGTTCATCGATAGTAATTTACAATGGCGAGAAAAATCCTGGTGGACTCAGACGACACAGAGACACTGGTGCTCTCTTAAAGCCTGTCGTGAAATTGCTCAACTGAAGGTATGTCTAAAAGTTGATCGATAAGTTGGTTTTTGTATGAAGACTTCAAAATGATTTTGTCATTTTTCTCATAGCCACTTGACTCACTGGACATCACTTTTGGATACATTGGAGCTGCTGAAATAGCTTACAAGTCATTTTTCTACTGGAAACAACAAAAAATGTGCAACGTTACTCTACCAGGTAAGTTGGTGTGGTCCCTTCTGGTGTTTAATTTTTGTTAAATTTCGATTTTCTAACGACAGGCTTGAAATACACAACCAGACAGTTGTTCTGGATAGCAGCAGCTACCGCAAATTGTGATCCAGCCATGAAACCACGATACAACTGGATGGTGGCGAACAATTGCAATTTTGGTGTTGATTTTGGTTGTCCGGTAGGTTCCAGAATGAATTTAATGAATAAATGTAAAATGTGGATACCCTAGAAATCATATTAATGAAATTATCATAAGTCAATAAATAAATTCTCACGTTTTAACACACCGTTCGTACACAAGTATTCTAATTGTTATCAAACCCTTAACAAATGATTAAAGTTTTTCAAAGCAAAGAAAATAAAAACGAGGAGAAAAACCGAAAACCGACTCGCTAAGAAAATTTTTATTTATTCTGTACATAAGTCACACGCTCTTTTCTCGAACCCCCTCGAATCACATTCAACACTGTTGATTCGCAAGCAAAAACAGATTATCCGATTCGCCAGCGATCGTCGCGTTGTGAAACTTACATCATTTATACCTTACAATAAATACAGTTTAATAATATAGTGTACAAAGTTCTAGAGAATCGATCATGCCTTCTGTCGATTTCAAATTTTTCTGAGATCTAAGCTCAGGCAAAAAATGTGTGAATAGAGAAAAATAGCTGACTGTTCGCTCAGAATTTCCTTTTTAATAAAAGACAATTCACACGTAACACACCTACCAGTTATGATCCAACTGCAGGATCAGTCTGTATTCTGATTAATGCTGAGCCAATGGTAAGAGGACGTCTTTATGAAGAGGTACCAACGTTTCTCATCAACGCCAATTGTTTCCAAAATTAATTCATCCACGGTGGGCAAGAAGTGGGCGGCTGGCACGCTTGAGAAATAGGAACTTGATAGTGCTGCATATTTTGCTGAGGATGCTGGGCCCTCTGTTGTTGATGATATGGCGGAGGTGGCGGAGGTGGATTACATATCGATTGCATCAGAGGCATCGAATTATAAGGAGGTGGTTTCATGCTGTATGGTGGCATCTGATTGTATTCGACATTCATATGAGACTCCATCATGGGACTTTGAATTCCTACAGGAGACTGATTACCCTCGTTTTGAACTGAAAGGGAAAAGACACATTTTTTTAATGAATTTATTTCATTTTTTATTATATCTTTTCACCCACTTACCCCTCATGGGACGAATTTGTGGCGGAGGAACATTCGTAGGTGGTGGCGCTGGGTAGAGAATGTGATGGTCCTCTCTAGGAGGTGGCGGTGGGGGTGGTGGTGGCCTCCCCCAAGGGACTCTAGGATGATGCGCTTGCCATGGTGCCTGAGGTGGCGGTGGCGGAGGTCCTGCAGGATCTCCTCCCAAATTCTGTTCGTTTCCTGTAATAAAGATTTATCCTTCTTAACGTCAAGAAAGACTCGATCGGCCTAATATGAAGATGATTTATCCAGTTTTTTGTCTCTGAAATTTAAATTTATGTACCTGGATTCTGACTAGCCATCTTCGGATCCATGCTACGCTTGTCACCTGAATAAATAAACATTGACTATATGAAGGTACTGCGAACTCCACTACGCGACAGATAATTAAAACTTGTGATGAAAGCAACGTTGTTTAAAAGATGAATATCTTCTCAGATATTCTAGCCATCGAGATTTACTGCACAGCTGTGTCTGGGTTTTAGTAGCAATTGTTCTCCTGAAATAAGTTTATAGAATGCAAAAAATATTGTGATTGATATTGATCGATAAACCACAGCACTGAAGTTTTCATAGTACTCATCGAATCTGAAAGTAAATCAAAAGTACAATTCATATTAATTCTAGAAGAAAAGCAACAATTATTTTAAACTCCATTCCAGTTCCAAGTGGACTTAATAAATACAATTCAGCTTTCATCTGTAAATGTTCTACACTGATAAGTCAATTAAATGTACAATACAGACAATGCAATTACATAACTCCTGATGACTCCCACACATGGAAATAAATGCACACGTGATTGCAGACCTGAATAAAAATTGTAGAAGTAACATCAGTAAATATCAAAATTCCATGTAATCTGCAAAATACAATGAATTAATCTATAAATAATATGCAATAATTATATAATCAATGTCAGCTAGTTTATCCATCCCTGCTGTCCCTACAAATTCAGCTGTTTTAAACTGTAAATATAAAAGACAAACTATGCTTGAACAGAGCAGCACGTAAAACAAATTAAACAACAATACAGCAACTCCAAAGTCATACCTGATCCATCGAACAACCTGCAATTAGATAATCTCATACGACACAAGTCTTAGTATAAGAAAAATATGTAAAACGACTTAAGTTACCATGTATACTACAGTCTAAGAGTATCGAGAAACGATGCCAGGTACCGATCACTCAATAAAACTAGATAAATATAAATTTGCAAACCTCTCTTTAAATTGAAATGGTTTTGCACACTTTATTTTTCTCTTTTTGTCAAAACACACCATCGTACCAACAGGCTATATGAATATTTTTGCAAAACCATTCCTAAAAGACAAAAAGAATTTTCTAATAAAATCTGCAAGGCATCCAGCACTCTTCCGCCTGTAATACTCTTAGCTACAGACCTGAATGTGGAGGTGGCATTAGCATCTTGTTTCGATCGCCATGATGTGGACCCACACCCGCTGGTGGTGGACCATGTAAGATCTGCTGATGTCGGTCACCTTCTCTGCTTGAACAATATTAATTGCATTGATTAAGAGCATAAAGTATATCGTGCAGGACGCGTGGTAGAATAGCGTTAAAAAATGACCCACAGACCCTCGGACAATTCTGAAATAATAAAGTCAAGCCTTGGCTTCGACCAGTTGGCCATTAATGATAAGAGATTTCTCAAGGTTTCTATATACGTATATACTGGTGTGACGCGTTTATATAGCAAACGACTTTGATAAGCACAAGAGTGACTCCACGTTGGCTTCTTTACTGCTCTCCTCTTATCTTATTCTGTTTTTATTTTTTTTATCCTCTTCACCCTTTCTTAGAAAAACAATTGAACCACCTCGTTTATTGTACCGTCAACAGACTATAGATCATAAAACCCGACTGATTGTGAGTCAACTGAGTTTATTTTTGTATGATTCTAACGTGAAAATTATTGATGTTTATTGTTACGTATGTTTTCCGTGTAAAACTCATTACAGTAGAGGAACGACGATAATTGTGAATAATTTATAAATTAACAGAATTTGTCACTTCGGTTGCTTTGCTGTTATTATTTTGCAACGTTAGGACGTAATGAGTTTTACACGACTCGTGCCAGCGATTCAAATTGTTACTGTAAACTAACTTAAAAGCCTTCTCTTTTATCTTTCACTCTTTTTGTTTCTTTAAGAATCTTTAATGTCACTGGATTCCGTAACACCGTTCGCCGATAAGATCGTACGACGCGATTTTAGGGACGTACATTTTTCTGGAAAAAAATCGTTAACGTTTAATGATGATTGGTTGGTAATTTTATCTATAATCACAAGTCCTCGAATCCGATTTGGGAATATTCTTGTGTCGCCTAGTAAAATTCATAGCGATTGTAGTAGAAAGCGCTTATAGGATCACTGCCACGATCACAAATTATACAATAATTTCAGTACTGCAAATACAATAATTAACGATGATTTTGTTCCACTTACCCAGAACCATGACGTTGTGCGTGTGGTGGTCCACATTGATATGGCGGTAGTTCCTGAAAAAATAATTTTGTTAAGGTCACAAAACTAATTCCAGGTGTTGGCTAGCATTATTTAAATACTTCTTCAGAAATAATACTGTACGAAATAATTGAAATTTTGAAATTAATGATATCTACCTGCGCCCCATCGACATCCGAAAATCGCCTCTTGACACCCTGACACTTTTGATGTTCAGGCGAATCCGGTTTTTGTTCAAACGACTGCAGCTGCGGCTGCTGAAGAGTATAATGCACCTGCGCTTGCATCTGACCATTTTGATATTGTATCTGTTGCGTATGATATTGTATTTGAGCCTGGACCTGAGGCGGAGGTACGTTATGTAAAGGCATACTCGATGGCGGCAGCTGCACCTACAAAGAATCAAATAAAACAATGAAGACAAAATTGACTTCTATTGCACCTGATCAATAAATAAATTAATAAATACCTGTATCTGTCCCTGGGGTTGTCCCAACTGTTGATGCTGATGCGCCTGATAAAGCCAAGGGGCTGTCTGCGGGGGAGGTACTTGCGTGGGTGGCGGTACACTGGTCAGAATATTCATAGAATTCTGAATTTGATTAACCGACGGTGGCGGCACCATTTGAGGTGGTGGTACTGGTTGTGGCGGAGGACCCTGATCAAGAGGAACTTCTTGTGGATGTTGCATTTCAACACCTGGAGGTGGTGGCGGCGGCGGAGGTGGAGGTGCCTGCTGATGATGCTGCGGCGACTGAGAACTTGGCACCAGGAAAGTTTGGTTTGTGGGAGGTGGAACTTGAAGATGAAATTGTGGCGGAGGTGGTGGAGGTGGCTGACCCTCAAATTGTGGAGGCATCACGTGGGACATGACAGGGGGAGGTTCATGAGTTTGATGCATTTGGGATGGTACAATATGTTCTCCAGGTTGTAACACAAATTGGGTTTGGGCCTGAGAAACAGGTGCCTGAACTTGTTGATATTGTATTTGATAAGTTTGTGGTATTGGAGGAGGTGGTTGGTTGGGTGGAAAGTTTGGCGGTGGAAAATGAAGATGCAACAATGGCGGTGGTGGTTGTTGGGTCATGTTCAATGGTGCGGAAGGTGGTGGCTGTTGAAGATTCACGTTGACAGTTTCAATGACACCGTGGGAAGGTGTTGGCGGTCTTTGTATATTTGGCTGCGTGTAAACGTAAGAAACAGCGCCGCCATTTACGGATCCACTGCTACTTGAGATGAAACTTTGCGAAGCTGGACTGTGTGGTGGGGGTTGGCTCATGACGTACATTTGTGTCATGGGCTGTGGCGATGCTTGAGAACCTGATGGAGGAACTTGAATTCCTTGGATTTGTAATGGCTGACCAGGATGAATTTGATACTGAACTTGGCTTACTGCTGGTGGTGGTCCAATTAATTGGACCTGCCCAACTGGTGGTGGTTGCATGAAAGTTTGTATCTCCTAGAGATAAAAATTCATGCATTGATTCTACATTCTCCCTTGCTGACTGCTAGTTCTTGGTAGGATTGGGTAAATGATACCTGAGTTTGACCTGATGAAACTAGAGGTCCTGAATGTGCTGGAATGTGTACTCCTGGAGGTGGCACCGTAACACCTGTTCCCGGTGCACCAGCCACTGTCGCTGTGAGTATGGTTGCTGGTAATGTCACAACACTACTCTGTGGATGCTGAATTATATCTGGAATGGCAGATACACCATCAGATTGTCAATACTATAATAATTTTTGAAAGTATTAAAGGTGGTTGAAATTTTATGTACCTTGATGTTGAATAGTAACGACATTCGGTTGTCCCAGTGTTCCAATATTCATTGTTTGAAATTGAGCTAAACAAGACCAGGAATGGATTTGATTTTATGATTTTTCTTTTTTACTTACGAAACCATGCATACTTGACCATTTTTTACCTTGTTGTATCTGCTGCATTTGCGGTTGTTCCATAACTTGTTGTGATTGAACAGGTGGTGGTTGTTGCTGTATATAAGATTGCAATTCAGATTGCATCGTTTGGATCAAATTAATTGCCAGTTGTTTAGCATTTTGCAACGCCTCTGGTTTCGGATGTCTATAACAATTACAACAATAATTGTTTTTGCTACGACTAACTGTTGCTAATATCATAACAAAGACAAATAATAACAGAATCTTACTCTATATACAAATGAAGTGGATCTGGCGATTCGGTACCCAAAACTGGGTCGGTAAATTGTGAACCGCGACCCCGTAAGGTCACAGTCGCCCCAGTCTCACCCCTAATATACAGTAAGTTCGCACCACCAGCACCAATAATACGTCCCCGCAAGTCAAAACCCTGAGGAGCATTTTCTATGCCTACACAAATTTTCTCCTAAAATTTAAAATAGCACCACCAGATATTGAAATTCTTAATAAGAAACTAATATCTCTTATTAGCGTTACATACCACAGTAGGTACACCTGAATGTAAGCTCATAAGCGGTGGAGGAGCATTGGTAAATCTGCTGGGTCTATTCAGAGAGCTTTGATGTTCTGTTTTTATTATTTCATTGATCTTTTCGATGGCCACTGGTTTTGTGAAAATATATTGATATGAAGATGTCTTATTGTACTAACGATATAAATTACACTAATAAGAATTAATACATACAGTCAATATTATGTTTCGTATGACCCTGTATATATAAATACAATGGATGTTCGTTTGGACATCTTAATTTTTCTTGTTCTGTCATAAATCGTCCACGAGTGGAAACAGTAGCACCTGTACATAAGATTTTATTTAAATATTAAATAAAAATTATCATTATTAGGTATACAATTGGTTTCTTCATACCTGAAAAATTGTTGATCTCATCTTGTATGTATCCTTTTGTGAGCAGAGTTCTGGCACTGGGTGGTATTTCATTAATTTCAAATTCTGTAGTATAGGTATCGGTATTCTTAAAACCACCATTCGAAGATGAAGTCTAGATGAATAAAAGATATATAAATTTCAAAAAGGAACCATCAAAATACAACATTAGAGGTACCTGCAAATTTACAAAAAGACTGTAGTTGTTTTACCTTATTGTTAGGGTTGGAACCCTGCAACTTTCCTTTAGCCATTAGCATTAAATCGACTCTCTCAGTATTATGCGTGGTTTCTTTCATAACCACTGTATCATTTCTGAAATTGAGAGGCAATCACACTAAGTGAGCTGGACACAGAATAATACATAAGCAGTATCTGACAATCATAGAATTACTACAAATATAATAATACATGATACAATCCAAATTGTACAAAGTATTTATTCCTCCTATATATCGAGCAAGAAAGTATACCTATATTTGACATAAGTGACAAGTCAAATATATGAATAGAAGCCTTTTCTCTAACATAAGAAAGCATTTATTATACAAGCTGGTATCAAGTAACAATAAAGCATAAATAGATAAAGCTGATAAGAATAAAAATAAAATATCATGATAATGAAAAATCTTACTGTACTTGAAATAACACATTATTATCTCTTATAACATTCTATAAACTTCCTGAAGGTTATGTTATGTATAATTTACAAAATGTATGAGCAGAAACAATACCGTACAATAAATCATGCATTTTTTAAAATAGTTCTGACTCGGTTCATTTTGTATATCCTACAATACTTAAAAAAAACAGTATACAAGCAACAAAAAGGTAATAAATAATGTTAAGATAACTATTACATGCAACTCACCACTATACAGTTCGAGCTGGTTGTTTAATTTTTATAAAACAAATAATGTTCCACATATTTCTCTCACGCTTTAAACAAATCGATAATTTAAAAAATTATGAAAATCATTAATTCCAATATAAACGGTAAATTATGAACAAATAATTTAACACTGCCAGATTATTCTTTAACAATATTGTTTCAAATACTTTCTTCAAACACATCAGCCACTGTTATTCCCGTTAAACGTTTCATATTCACTCAAATTGCAATGCAAGCACACTTCTATTGTGTAATACTGCAAAAATCAGCACTGATTTGCATAGTGTGTAGTAATCAATTGGTGTCCAGAAATAGTGGCGGCCAATTCAGCGTGAAAGTTGTACGCAAGTTAATCAGCTGACTGTACCTTTCGAAATGCGCTACAGTCTTGAATCTATAATTATCAAATATTAATTATTTCTAACAAAAATATTAACGGTGAGCAACAAAAATGAGATTCAAAATTTGATCCTTACGTTATTCAGAGATTATTGCAGCTGAAAGTCATTCACACAGCTAGGTATTGTTCCATTAAATTCTGATTTGACATTTTTGAAAGTAAGTCAATGGGATATTATAACAAATTTTACTTGAGTTATAACGATAAGAATAAGCATAAATTTCAACTTATTGATATTTCGTTAGGTATTTTGAATGAAATAATACATTTTTGGAAAAATAATCTTTTTGGCCATCTAACGGAAATAATCGAAACTAAAAGTCATAATTAACATTTTCTATTCTTTCGACGAAACTCCTGCAGAGGTCTCATATTTTATATAAAAATTTCAGAATAACGGTGGAATTAAAATTTGTTTCCTCTATCGGACATTTTCAAAACTACTCCATTCCAATTGATTCCAAATCATTTGCTTTTCACTGCAGGTGTTAGCGGTTATCGAAGATGCTTTAGTAAGTGTTTTTAATATTTGCGAATGATTTTCGTGCTATATGCGTACAGTAAATGATAGCAAGATGCCACAAGGAAGACGACGTGCACCTTTTAGTGGAAAAGCCAAAAAGCAGCAAATGCAAGCGAAAAAACAGCGACAGAACCGGCTTCTTCTTGGTGCGTAATGATAGATTTGCTGGTTTTAATTATTGATGAAATTTGGTGACATGCATTTCATGTATTCTTTTACCTGATACCATGCAATTCATGTCGTACTTTAATAGTAATATTAAAACATGTAAAATATTATTTTAAATTCTTATGTCAATAAAATTTGATAACATGAAATGATATGGTATGAGGTGAACATACCACCAGCCTGTTTGGTTTTATGGTTTTGTACTATATCCCACTAGCGACATTAAGAATACTTAAATTAATTAGCAAAAGTTAGGAATGAATATTTGGATAAATAGTAGGACACCACAGCAGAGGGGATGATGATGAAGGAAGCGATGATGTTGCGGACAAGCCTTCTAGAACTGTTCAGAAGATAAATCTACAACCTAAAGATCGCACTAGCAAAAGCAAATATGCATTGCAATTCTTTCGAGAAACCAAGGAGGAACTACAGAGAAGAAAGGAAGAAGCTAGACAGACCATTGAACCAATTCCTTTGGAGCAGCAAGAAATTTCTGATAACTTCTTCCCACCAGGAATCGATATGCCTAAAAGACCACCGTGGGATTTTAATATTACTAAGGAACAACTGGAGTCAAGAGAACAAAGATACTTTACTGTAGGTTTTTATTGGAGAGATTCAACAAGAAAAAATGTACTAGAAGACAATTTCTTTCCTTTTAGGAATATTTGAAGAATATCGAAACCATAGAGAATATCGGATACTTTGAATTGAATCTTGAAACTTGGAGGCAATTGTGGCGAGTCTTAGAAATGTCAGATATATTGTTGATAATAGTGGATATTAGATATCCAGTATTAATGTTTCCTCCTTATTTATATCACTACATAACAGAGGATCTGGAAAAAGACATGATCCTAATATTGAATAAAATTGATCTGGCATCTCCAGCATTAGTCGTAGCCTGGCACAATTATTTTAGAGAACAATATCCCAAGATACATGTCTTAGAATTTACTTCGTTTCCTGGATACAATCTCCGTGGTAACACTGAGGATGGTGAAGGATTGAAGAAAAGACGTCGTCGAGGAAAACTAAAGATGGCTGCAGAAGGAGCTCAAAAATTATTTGAAACTTGTAAAGAAATTGTGAGCGATAAGGTAGACCTCAGCTCATGGCACCAGAAAATTCAAGAGGAAATGAATTCAGAATATGATCTCGATGACATTGATAGGAAGGATAACGTAACGATTGAAAAAGAAGACACGAGTTACTTCAAACATGAAAAGTACAAGAATGGTGTCTTAACAATCGGTTGTATTGGAACACCTAACGTTGGAAAATCTTCTTTAATGAATGCTCTAATGGGTAGGTATAGAATATTATTTTCACAGAAAGTCGTATCACAGCTTATCCTGCAGCCTTTAACTATTCTACATACTCAAGAAATGGATTCAATTGGAATGACATAACAAGCTCATTTTTTTACATCAGGAAAGAAGGTTGTGAGTGTATCTCGTACTCCAGGCCACACCAAGCACTTTCAAACTATTTTTTTAACAAAAAGCGTCTGTCTGTGTGATTGCCCTGGATTGGTTTTCCCTTCGACAGTGCCAAAACAACTTCAAATACTCATGGGATCATTTCCAATCGCCCAGGTTAGGGAACCTTACACAACAATAAAGTTTATAGCCGAGAGAATAGATCTGCCGAAGCTTCTACGACTACAGCATCCTTCAAATGATGACACCTGGAGCGCCATGGATATCTGTGACGGATGGGCAGCTAAAAGAAATTATAAAACAGCAAAGGCAGCCCGATTGGATTCTTACAGGGCTGCTAATTCTTTACTCCGAATGGCATTGGAAGGAAAGATATGTATATATGCATATCCACCTGGATGGGCTGCGAATAAGGGTGAGAGAGGAAAATGACAAAAACAATTGATTCATAATAAATTGAAACCCATACAGATAATAATTATTACGTTTTATTTACAGAAAAATGGGAGAAGCACAGTGATGTTGAAATCGTCAGGTGGATTCAAGCTAAAAGTCAGGGTGAGGTTGATCCTGAAACTGAAAGAGTCTTTACGTCCTCTGATGAAGACGAAGAGGAACATCCGGATGAACAACAAGAATCGTCGAAGGATCAACAAGATAATGACTCTACTGATTCTACAGATGATGATTTGGACATGCCAGTAACAGTGAATAAATTTAAAGCGCTTACAACGGCTTCTTAGTTTTGTGTAATTTTCTCTGTAACGATTGAAAAAGCTTGAAACTAGAAACTGCAACAGTAACAGAAACATGTTAATCCTTTTTTTTTTAAATTATAATTACTCGTTACACCAAAATGGCGCTGATCTTACTCGAATATATATTGTAAAATATCATAGATGTATCGGAAATATATTTTACAATATTTACTGCATCCATAAATGGTTTTTTCTCATTTAAATTCCTGCTAATATTTATTTTAAACAAGACAACGTTACTCAAGTTTTAAGAATATTTTATTTGTTATTGCGAGCAAAATAATTGCATGGTGATACACCTATTTAAGTAAAAACGTTATAATTTATATCTTACAGACTTATTACTTATTGTTACTACTGGTTATTTTACCACTATTATTCGCAACCTGTTCTCGTGATTAATTTCAGTGTTAAAAAAGAAAACGAATATTTACATGTACGATCTATCAAAGCAGTGAATAATTAATGCGCTATTGGTCCATCGAAATGGAAATGTTTAGCAAGTACCGATATAGCGGATACGAACGCGTGAAGAATATATTTTTAGAATAAAAAACATTCGAAGCTTCTATTGTCTAAAATCCTCCACTACTCATCCTTGCAGCATATTGCAACAAATAATAATATTAAAAACTGTTTGTGCTACAAAAAAGATTGTGTAATAATTAAATTTATTTCTATTTACTTTTTGCACAAGCTAACACGTACTATACACAGATTGCAGTCTATGAGTCAAAAATTGTTAAAGCACAGTAAACCACAAAATCGATTGACTTTCGATTATACAAGAACTCGTGATAATTATTTTTGAAAAATAGTGTTTCTAATTACTCACTCGGCTAATTCTTCTATCACTGTTCTTATTGATTGTATTTTTTTTTAATCTGAGGTATAACGGTGTCGCGTAATATTTCACTAATGAACCTGCTACTAATTACTTTTTAAATTGCAATCGCTAATATCACGGGCGCTAATTAGAACTACGGATATCTTCTCTTTTGTTCTTTCGGAAACGAGGAAAATGAAAGAACAAAGAAACAGATCACAGTATACAGTATAGGGGAATACAAGTGGAAAGTTGTTGTCTTAGGCTCCCAAAATTTTTTTGACAGAGTAGCCAGGAATTGCGTAAAAGAAAAGTAAAATTAATAGCAATATCCCAATGGCGATCACTGCTTTGAGAATAGCCCATTTGTAATTGTGCCAAACGATGTACTTGATCGACTTCAGAGGATTCAGGAACCACATAAAAGACGCATCCGGTCGACTGTAAAATCAAAATAATATTAGACAATAGCAAAATTTTGTATTATATTTGATTTTTATGAAACTGCTTTAAAGCAAATCAAGTATATCGATTTAAAAAATTCATTTAATGACAGATTTTGAAAATCCAAAACGTCATTTTTAATTTGATGTATTCGCAATAAACAGTAAATAATTACTTTGGCTTGTCAAGTGGATCTGGTTCGTTTCTTCCATATCCAGCTGGATTTTTTTCAGCTTCCTCTTTCGTCAGCAAATGTATTTCCGCTTCGACTTTTCCCTAATGCACGAAAAATGATTTTGAATATTAAAACAAAATATTATTACAATTCCCATAACGACGATACATATTTTATTATATTACCGTCAATTCCATGTCCTCGTTTTCTTTTTTCACGTAAAATGGCCACCAACCCTTAATACGTTTCTGCTTAAATATATTAACCATCGGCACAGAACCGTCAGTTTTCAACATCCCCAAAGTACAAAGTTTACTATTCTTCGCCCCCCTGGGAAATCTATTTAAATCGAGGGTAATGGCGCCCAAGAAATCATCAGCCGAAAAATGATCAGCGTCCCAAACCTGAAAAAAAAAATTCAAAAAATCAAATTTCTTAGATAACAATTATTGATCAACAATTACCAATCATTCAATATATACTGTGACGTGATTTTTCGAATCACGGTCCTAAGGCGGCTCCGGTTACCGATACAGATAACGTTCTCGATTTCTGGTTTCCTTCGGGTCGCCACCCTGCTCAGAAGCTACGCTCTCGGGTTGATTCGTATAGTTATGCCAGGGCTCTCGTAAGATTTCGTTATTGTTTAGTTGAGGTCGAGGTGCTCGAATCTGCCGTGGGGAGATAGTCTCGACGTACCGAGTTGCCCGGCAGAGGAGAGTACCCGACGGAGACGTTTCCATGGACCGGCAGGAGCCCGGGTGAAATACCGGCGCCCCGCTGGAGACGGGCAAAGGGCTGTAGAGCGGGCGGAGGTAGTTTTGATACGGTTAAGGGCAGGAGAGGAACCTCCTGCCCGAGTTAAGGATGTGGTGCCCAGCTGTCGCCCGATGCCCTGGGGAAGCGGCCGTGGAGGATCTCCAG